CATGTAATGGGCGACAGGATACAGCCAGGGCGTAGTGTAGGTCGTGTTGTCAGAGCGGCGAAACAGACTGAGGCTTTAGTAGGGTAGAGAGGAGCGACTCGCTACGAGCACATCACTAGCGGCAAGGAGAGGTGTTAGGGTTCATGATCAGACCAAGGGAGATAGGCAGACGCGAGGCATGTTTCATGCACATTATATGACAATCCGATAGGATAGGAGAATGGATACGGCTAGGCTAGGGTATTTTCTACTAGGGCAGCAGGAGAACGAGGTGAGGAGGTGACATCATCAATCGAACCCAACGAGAGAGATAGCGCAACAAGAAGCTTCCAGCTAAAGGGAAGTTGCTGAACTGAAGACTGACGTCGCAAGAATCGTAGGAGATGGAGGTCCCTGGGAGGAGCACTAGTCAGATGCTGAGGCCTGACAGGAGGGAGTCAGGATGCAGAGGATCAAATACCCCCTACAGGGACAGTAAAGTTAGCCTTAACTTTTCAAAACATTAAAGGAAATCGTCAAAATGTGTGTAGTCCAGAAGGGAGAGTAAGTAACCGATGCGCAAGTATACGTATGTAGTATAGAGTGATAGGAATAGGCAAATACATACGAGGTAAAGAGAGGAGTTTGAGTATCGGAGAAGCAAGATGAACAGATCAGGAAGATGAAGGATTAAAGCGAGCTATGAGAGTGAAAATAGACTTATGAGGCAATAGCGAAGTAGTATATAGGTATGCTTTTTATGAGGATATAAATCTAGAGGATGTGTAGGTGTAATAAGTTGTGACACCGATATCCAGCACGCGAGAGAGTAAATAAAAGAACAGCCGAGATTAGAGCAGAAAACCCACATCAAAGCAGAATTTTAATTGTCCGTGCCACCCTAGGGACACACGCAGGAGAAAACAAAGAAGGTATGGAAATGGGGTAAGGAAATCGGAGACGACACGGCACGATGGATAAAGCCCATGAGTTGTGCGATGCCAAGGTCACTCGCGACTAGAGCTTTAGGCGTTCAAATAATAGAGACCGCCCTGAGAATGTGTACAAACGCTAATTCTCGCAGATGTAGGTCGTTTCAAGAGTCCCACTCTGTTTTTCAGTTTTCTTGCCAAGCGCAAAAAAGGCTTCTCACACCGCTGGTGTCTCAGTGCTCCTCTCAAAGAAGAAAAACAAACAATAAGAGATCCTCAAATCATTAAAGGAGTTTAAAGTGCTGCATGATCGTTGGTGAACCCACAGCCAATCATTAAAACGCATCTTTAAGATCAGAATACTATTATCTATCATGCTCTAAACATGTGAGAGATAGAACTCTGCCGTCCACTATCCTTCACCACTGACCATTCTCTGTCAGATTCTGTTCTTAAATATTTTCTTCTTTATAGTTCAGTGTAACCAGTGATTATTTAGAAATAATATATTACTACAATATGTATCCACATCTTTATGACGCTTTAAACAGCCATTGTAAGTATGCCACACGAATGCATGGTGTACCCCATCAAAAACATACCCTGGAGCTGAAGTTGTGTTTTCATTTATGTTTTGAGTAAATTCTTGGCAATTCATCTAGTCGCTGATATATACATCTCAAACTTCAAAAATACTTCTTGTGGAAGCACGTTTAACCATGTATTTCTAGCAATTGCAATTTAAAACAGAGGTGTGCAACTCGAGTGTGTTGATTTGTTATGTACTCTCTCTATTTTTGTTTTGTGTTTATTTTTTTATATTTATGTATATATTTTTTGAGATGTAAGAAGACTCAAGTCTTCTCTAAGATAATACAATAACTGAGTGGGTTCATATTTCTATAGTTTGATGCTGATAGAACAAAACACAATTTTACATAAAGGTGTAAGTATTTGCTGAAGTTGAGTTTTTTGCCTGCACATCATTAGAAATAGAAAACAGAAGAGAAATGTTCCAAAAATAAGATAAAGTCTAGAGAATAACAGAGAATTTCGCGCTGAGTATACTGGGGTTCTCTAGTAAGTATTAAACAATTGTCTCTCATTTACAAAACTCGAAGTACAGACATTTTTGGTAGCAAGTATCAATTTAATAATTCGATCACTATAAATATATATACTTTGCACATAGAGCTCGCACATAGATCAGACAGATCTTATTCCGATCGTATCTTTGATATACACTATTATCTCTCTTGCTCGCTCAATACTTCTCAACGAAACAACTACAAATTGTAATACAAAACTAAGCTACATATATTATCTACTACAGGTGCACATATTTTTCTAAGATGCACCCAGTAACAACAAAGCAAATGAGATATTTTCGCCACGCCATAGAACTTTGGCCTATGGAGAGCCTACTATTAGAGTACGCAATCTTTACATCCTAAGACTTTATTACCACATTTCTTATAGTAAGTAGTAATAATGTTTACCTATAACATCATGTTTCTTTCGAGTTCCACTACGCCCTAGCTATCTAATAAATGCACTCGAGTTGTCGAGTTTTATTTTTATCAGTTTCTAGGTTCTTCCTCAGAGCCCACCGTAACTACATCAAAAAAAACATATTGATGTTGCTCGGTCCTGTTAAGATGAAAAAATAAAAAACAAAGAAACAGGAAGAATGCTAGCACCAAATACTAAATTTAAAATAATTCCCTGAAAAATTTAAAATACGTGCCAAATCCAGCACAATCCCGTGTCTCACCTTCGAACATCTTCACCTCTAGTAGTAAGCAAAGGCACCGAAGCTCAATTTAACAGATTATATGCTGAGAATGGGAACCCTTAAGAGACGTAAATATTCGTCCAAATCAACGTAATTAACCAAATAAAGGTTTTCATGTCAACGAGTGGGACAAAACACAGGAGTATGTGTTTTATCTTCGCGCGTGCTCTACAACTATTTAAGAGTCTCCTGGCGCCACAACTTCGAGTCATCCTCAGAAGGATGGAGCTATTAGCTCTTGATTGATATCGCACAGAGAGAGGATTGGATGTAAGTGCTAATAGAGAGGGAGCGCGATACAGATTGAGATAATAGGATGTGAGTAGATGTACGGGCACTTAGACAGCAATAGTGTGTGTTGTTGTTTGAGAGTGTTATAGTTGTGGGTTTTGTGCGTTCGTCACAAGAGAGTGCTAGTCGGGAATGGTGAAGTCGTCAGCAACATCTATAGATACAATTTGGATGGTTGCAATCTCTTGAATTAAAGTGAAATGGATTGCGGCAAGGCTATTGGCTCATGTGACTCTCATTTGTTTTTCGTCTCAGTGATGTTATATGGGGCTTGTCAGTCATTCTGGAAGGCACTGGCTTTCGGCTTCAAATGGACTGACCCAGATCGCTGCGTGTTGTTGTGAGTTGCAAGTGCCGCGAGATTGCGCAAACCTGTGATCATCGGTCGTGTGCTCTGGCGTTTGTGCTTGAGAGCATGTGCCATTATTAGCCTAGTAGTTTATAAAAAAACCACGGGTATGGAGTGAATGAAGTGGTGGCCTAGTTCGCAGAGACGCTCGCGTTTCGAGACTCGCTGTGCTGGATGTTCGTAACATATAAGAACTACTGTTGATATAAAGCAGTTATACTACGGAACAATATGAATTCAACACTTACTACTACCTTATTGCAGTATTATTTTAAAAAGACATTCAATATAATATATCCCTTGGTGAACGATGCCAATTGATGTATTTGGTAGTGCGTCTTCTTTTTAAAACCAAGTGCTGCAGCTCACATGTGTTTTTCGACATAATATTCATCATACATGAATGAGCTCTATAAAAACTTAGTCATAGTGATGATGGTTGTAGTCTGACTAATGGATAGATGACTAAGAATAAATATCGCCTAGATTGACTTCTGCAAAATTTGTAATTGAATTTACTATAATAGTCATTGTAGGTAAGTATTAGTATGTAATGATAAGCAATACGATTAACATCATCTAGATATATAGTGAGTACCGTCAATGTATTCTCTGAAGGCTAATCTTAATATACAATACTGTCTTTCATTCGGAGATTATTGTCAAACACAATTTTCTCTGACTTGTTTTTGCTTTGATACAATTATGTAGTCAATTTCAAAGAAATGTTTATGTTGAGTATGTCAAGTAGTGGTGGTGTTGGTGATAAGATAGTTAGTTAAGAAGTCTTAAATAGTTACTTAAGTAAGGGTGAACTAAACCACTATGAGACCTATTAGAAATTCCACTTTGCTCAAGCTCATACAAAGTTTATATCAGCTTGTGAGAGACGATTACTTTCAATTTCTCTCCAATTCCATTTAAGGTAGCATAGGATTTTAATAGTTTCTTCTAGATGGTATTTTTTTGTTCAGCTTCTTTTCATTAGGAATCTTAGAAATGTCGCTTTTTAGTAGTAGTAGGTAGTCATAAGGCAGTGGTGGTAAGGCTAGGTAAGTCAATGAGATGAGGAATAAGACGAGTAGTATGATAGTGAGTATATTTCCCAACTGTGTATGTTTGTAGCAGAAATATCAAATATCATAAATATCGAGATGTATATCGTGAAAACATCGTACCGAGGGATTTGGATATTGTTACATCGTGAGCCTTCCCACCATATCGTGCGCTTTCTCATGATATCGCAATAAATATCGTACCGTGAGGTTTATACTGTGACAATATCGTGAAACTTGGATATCTTTACACCCCTACAAAGTTCCATGATTTTCCCTGTCCTAGAAAATGACATTTTCAATTTCCATGTCCGTGGGAACCCTGTATATCTCAGGTAAAAGAAGTTATTTTGATGGTATTTTGTTCTGAATGGTTTTGGAGAGGAGATGTCTTCTGGATTTGACAGACTTTATTAGCAGATTAGCAGCTGTGGTTGGATCATCTCAAGTTTGGACAGAGGATTTCCACCCTCTGTTGTCTGGCTCCGGTCTCTTCTGGATTCAGACAGAATGTAGACGGGACTGGCTCACCACGCTTCCTTTTTTTACCAAAACTGTATTCTTATTAAAACCTCTTTTTCTTCTTCGTGTGTCTACAGTGTGGAGCTGGACTTCAAGCTTCAGGAGGACAAACTGCAGCCGTTGATGAAGCGCCTGTGTCCCACCGAAGAATCGCACCTCCCCGCTCTGCCTTACCCCCAGGAGGCGCTCTACTCCTCGACCCCGAAACGCAAGTCCAAAGCGGAGGCCAAGAAGCACGCGCGCTGGAGACTCTGGTTCCTCTGATCCACCACCTATCCCCACGTATCCCCCACCCCGACATGTCCGCCACTTTAAAGGATCCACGCACACTGCAAAAACGACGGCGAGATAAAAGTACTTGAATTCCAGACACATGTAATTGTAATTTCTGTAGTTTTGACAAGTTAGAATGAATTTACTAAAGTCCTAGATTATTGAATTCTACTTAAAAGTTGCTTCAAAAATACAGTACAAGCTGAAATTACGCCAAATACATTGGAAAAGTACAATAAAATACCAATATTTCCTGACTAGAATTAGTATGAAAGTAATTTAAAGGTGTACTATGTAACTTTTCCAATGGGGATGCTCCACCTGCTTGTCTCCATGGAGATGTTATGAGCTCATTTTGCCTGGAATGTTCCTCAGTATGACCTAAAAACATATATTTATCTTGCATTATTTACTCAATTTCGATACAATTAGGTGTTATCGCTAAAAAAAAGGACCTTGAAAAAAATGTATAATGGAGTCCGCTGTTTGTCTGTATGGAAATAGAAAAGGTTTAATGTCATACTGTGGAACATTACAATCCAGGCAATGCAATAACATCGCCATGGAGACAAGCAAGTGGTGCAGACATAGGGCACATTTCAAGAAAAAGTATCCACCTTCTCCTTTGGGTCATTACTAAGAACCTCTGTAGCAAAGATGTAGTTACATTTTGGACTTGTTTAGTCCCTACTTTAGACCTGGAATAGTCCAGTCATAGACCTGGTTCAGTTCTGGTGGTCTTAGGTTTGACACCCACTGACATAAAAGACCCAAATTAGACCCATATTACTTTTGGATCTACCTTATAATATTGTTTCTTTGTCACAAACGTACCTGGAGTTGTGTTTTGTTTCATTCACACATGTTCTTCTCTCAAACTGAAAACACTCTGTTCCACCTTGTGACGTCATGAGGTAATACAGGAGGTGCTCTACTGCGTTTGTAAACTCTATACTCAAAGGTTCATCAAACTAAGGCCCCCCACCACTTGGACTGGCCCTATGAGGCTATCCTCAAAAGTTGCCATGGCCAATTTATTTTTTTATTACTTTTTGGCAAATAATAACACATCTGTATCTGGTATTTTGTTGATATTTATATTAAAATAATTATATGACGTATTTACATTTGCCGCTGAATCAAGGTCGAGATCAAACAGTGACGGTCACCGCACGTGCAGAGTTCTGTAGTGCCGTTAAGGACAGAAAAACGGCAACTGTTAAAGTATGAAAACTTGACAAAAAGTGCCGAGTTTTCAAAGAACAGTGGGCGATCGATTATTTTTTTTTGACCGTGCAGTTTGTCTGATATGTAAAGAGAGTGTGGCAGTTTTAACCCTCTCCAGCAGATTTTCAACAGCTAAATGCCAATTACGTGCTTACTCCAAATCCATATTTTATGAGCCTTTTTTTTTTTACTCAGGAGCCTTTTTTCCCATCCATGCTGATAAACATGGATGATGCAGACTGTGCAAGAATGTCTACACACAAACAGCCTGCCAGAAGTGCAAAGTACTTTTGTTAACAAAGGATAAAAATAGTTTCTTGGAGGACCACATAAAGTTACCGTTCATATCATTTTCAGTCTTCGGTGTTAATTTACCACACCGAACCAAATCTGTAACATCCCAGAACGCGTCGGATGTGAAGGTCTCTCTCAAAAAAAAAAGTCAGGATTGTATATTACAACCCCATACGATCATTTTCCTGTTACTAAAATTAAAAGAATAATATAATCTGCGTCGTCAGGGTCGTACAATTCTGTTATACGACCGACCTCATCACTATCAGGAGCGATAATGTGGCCCCCAGAGAAAAAAGTTTGGTGACCCCTGATTTTTACCATGTAACAAGAATCATTTGGATAATTTCAATCTTGGGAGTTGCCAATCTTGACCGAACTAAATGGTAAAAGGAGCGGTTAACCTGAAAACTACCGCTTCATGACGTCACAAGGTGGAACAGAACATTTTGGGGTTTGGAGATGTAGACAGACTTATAAAAATAACATAAAAGTGTTACTCAAACACGTGTGAATGAAACAAAACACAACTCCAGGTCTGTTTTTGAGCAGGAAACAAGATTATAACATGACTTAAAGCTCATTTTACGCAATATACGACCTTTAAATCACAATATATACGCCAAAGAAGTAGGAAAAAATCAGTCTTTACCAAATCTCTTCTCGCAAAATGACCTTGGAACCAATCTGCAGCGTTATCAACAATCGCATTCCTCACTTTATTCATTCTAACGTTGTCAAAGCTACTCAAATAAAATTCATATTCTGGATTCAAGTCATTTTAACCGAGGCTACACATTCATATTTTGCAGTGCATCTGTGCATCGTCAATATTTGATTATAGTCTCTCATCTCCATGGATTTTTCCGGACCAGACGGAGAGGGGCGGATGACTAGACTTCTGATCGGATGTTTCAACGCGGCCGATGAGCTGGATTTATAACGTCACGCTTACCAAAAATGGATTTAAAAATAATTTCTGAGTTTAATTTCTTCAAACAAACTGTGAAATTACACCAAGAGGACACCGGTACGTTTCTGGAAAAATCAGCAAGGTGCAATTTTCAGACGATTTCGATTTATCCGCATATATTTTTATAGCTTCGTCAAGAGTCAAAGGTAATTATTCAGTGACTGTCGATGAAATTTCTAATCGCAAAAGACTGGACTTCCTGTTTAGTTTATTTTTTGGTTTTGGCCCAGCCTCCCGGAGAGGTAAACGGCGCAGTTTCTCCACACAATAAGCCACATAAGCACAACTAACAATTTTCAGGATACATTTTAAGGTTTTGACGATATAACTTGGAAATCCCGACCATGAAAATATGAAAAAAGACTTTGATAATATTTGAAAATTAGCCTGGAAGGATAACTAGTATTTATTGGACATTATGATCTACTTTCTAACCATGGCTACAAATGTCTCCTTGAAATAACTTTGGAGTAAAGAATGAATAAAATATACTTATTTTCGTATTAACATTTGAAAAGCCAGTTGTGAATGTATTTTTTTCTATATTAAGACGCGTGCATTTATTTTTTATAGGAAACGGGAGCCAGAAGGGAGACGGATAAAATCATAAGCCGAGGGAATTTTTAAACAAGTTTCTAACGTTTTGAAAATTTAATTCAGCCTAAAAGAAAAACCAAACACACTGAGGCTATGGAAAAAATGGTTTTAAAGATACACTAGGTAACATTTCAGGTGGCCAGTTTGTTCAACCGGCATGTTTCCATGGAGATGCCATTGTGCCTTACCTGGAATATTGGAAATTCCCACAGTATGGCATTAAACCTGCATATGTTACATGTTTTAATAGGTAAAGACTGCAGAAAAAAGTGAATTTAAAGCTACATTATGTAACATTTCAGGTGGGCAGTTTGGCCACCTGTGTGTTTCCATAGAGATGACATTGAGTTTTGCCTATAATATTGGAAATTCCCACAGTATGGCATTAAACCTGCATATGTTACATGTTTTAATAGGTAAAGACTGCAGAAAAAAGTGAATTTAAAGCTACATTATGTAACATTTCAGGTGGACGGTTTGGCCACTGTGTGTTTCCATAGAGATGTTATTGAGTTTTGCCTATAATATTGGAAATTTTCACAGTATGGCATTAAACCTGCCTGTATTACATTTATTCAATTACGGATGTTTTAATAGGTAAAGGTTATAGAATAAAGTGAATTTAAAGCTACATTATGTAACATTTCAGGCGGACTTTTCAGTCATCTGCATGTTTCCATGGAGATGTTATCTTACTGTACCTGGAATATTGGAAATTTCCACAGTACGGCTTTAAACCTGCCTGTATTACATTTATTCAATTACAGACATTTTAATGGCTAAATACTATAGAAAAAATAATAATTTAAAGATTCATTACGTAACATTTCAGGTGAGGAGTTTGGCCACCTGCATGTTTCCATAGAGATGTTATTATGCTTTATCTCAAATATTGAAAATTTCCACAGTATTGCTTTAAACCTGCATATATAACATGTCTTAATAGGTAAAGGCTATAGAAAAAAAAAAGCAATTTAAAGCTACGCTATGTAACATTTCAGGTGGACATTTCGGCCACCTGCATGTTTCCATGGAGATGTTATTATGCCTTTCTTAGAATATTGGAAATTTCCACAGTATGACTTTAAACATGCCTTTATTGTATTTATTCAATTACAGATGTTTTAATAGGTAAAGGTTATAGAATAAAGTGAATTTAAAGCTACATTATGTAACATTTCAGGCGGACTTTTCAGTCAGTCATCTGCATGTTTCCATGGAGATGTTATCTTACTGTACCTGGAATATTGGAAATTTCCACAGTACGGCTTTAAACCTGCCTGTATTACATTTATTCAATTACAGACATTTTAATGGCTAAATACTATAGAAAAAATAATAATTTAAAGATTCATTACGTAACATTTCAGGTGAGGAGTTTGGCCACCTGCATGTTTCCATAGAGATGTTATTATGCTTTATCTCAAATATTGAAAATTTCCACAGTATTGCTTTAAACCTGCATATATAACATGTCTTAATAGGTAAAGGCTATAGAAAAAAAAAGCAATTTAAAGCTACGCTATGTAACATTTCAGGTGGACATTTCGGCCACCTGCATGTTTCCATGGAGATGTTATTATGCCTTTCTTAGAATATTGGAAATTTCCACAGTATGACTTTAAACATGCCTTTATTGTATTTATTCAATTACAGATGTTTTAATAGGTAAAGCTTGTAGAAAAAAAAGGAATTTAAAGCTACACTATGTAACATTTCAGGTGGGCAGTTTGGCCACCTGCATGTTACCATAGAGATGTTATTGTGCCTTACATGGAATATTGGAAATTTCCACAGTAAGGCTTTAAACCAGCTTAAATTGCTTTAGTCAGTTACAGATGTCTTAATGGCTAAATACTACAGAAAAAAATAACAATTTAAAGATACATCATGTAACATT